AGATGACACTATGCACCTATCAAAATGGCTAATATACCAAAGAGAGACAAAATAGGAGGTTACTGCCTGATTTCTTTTGCTAATATGCTGTTTATAATTATTAAATCTGTTTTCATGGGAAAAAAGGATGCAAAGGAAAGCTCTCCATATGTCCTATATTCATACATACTACGTACAACATACTACAATATCAAGCAAAAGAGCTTGGAACAGAGGCAAATCAGACATTATTGTGCATTTCAAAGCTCTTCCAACCAGTGTTTCCCAAAGGCTATCTGCCAGGATAGCCTTAGTGCTCCCATGCTTCTGTGTTTCTTTAGCTTTCAAACATACCAATGCTTTGACCCATTCCTGTGATTCTACTGAACTGATGCTACGGTGATGATGTTCCAAGTTTCCCAGCTAATTCTTATGAGCAGGGAAGACTGACAAAATCCTGTTCTAAATGAAAGCTCCGATCTTCATTTTGTTAAAAGAAGTCTGGGGTGGAAGTCTGAGATTCTGCATTTCTAACAAGCTTCAAGGTGCTGCCAGTCCTGCTGTCAGCAGATCACACTTTGAATACAGAAGGAAAGACTGGTAACACTCCTAATATCCTGCTCATACCTAACTTTGCCCATGTCTACTCCTTTCTAAACTCATACTGTATCCTTTACAGTCGAGCTTAATACCTTGCCTGAGGTCAAACAGCCAACAGATAACAGAGACAAGATTAAACAAAACTTTCTGACCTCAGACCACGTACCTGAAACACTATAAACAATACTGAATGAGGTAGGAACACTGCTAAGGATATATTTCATGTTATATATTCCCTAGAGAACAAACAGTTTTTAGAGGGAAACTACTCTAAGTGGTTCTCAAAATAGCTCTTCCTAAATGTGACTAATTTATTTTCAACCCATCTCTGGCAGAGAGAAAACATTTCATGCCTTTGCATCTTCTGGGATATTAAAGCACAGAGCAAAGTGGTCCATTTACAAGAGATAAAAGCAACAGGGATGACACATAAAGTGAAAAAAACTAATAGGATTTATAAAAAAAATTTATGGAGGACTGAATACAGAAGCATAACTGAAGGAACAATTAAGAGGTTATTCAGTCCAGGGACGCTTGGGTGGCTCAGGGGTTGAGTGTCTGCCTTTGGCTCAGGTCATGATCCTGAGGTCCTGGGACTGAGTCTGCCTGTCTCTCTCTCTCTCTCTCTCTCTCTGGGTCTCTCATGAATAAATAAATAAAATGTAAAAAAAAAAAAAAAAAAAGTTTATTCAGTCCAGAAGCTCTGGGGTGGCTCAGTCAGTTAAGCATCTGCCTTTGGCTCAGGTTGTGATCCCAGGGTCCTGAGAGAGACTACTGCATCAGAGTCCCTGCTCACTGGAGAGCCTGCTTCTCCCTCTCCCTCTGTCCCTCCACACCATTCATGCTCTTGCACTCTCTCTCTCTCTAATAAATAAAATCTTTAAAAAAAAATTATTCAGTCCAATCTCCTACCTACAACAAGACACTGACAGAAAATGCAAAACAATTACTATAATGGGAAATTTTATTACTTTATAAAGCAGCCGCTAATCAACTCTAATGATTACACAGTTCTTTTTTATACTGAGCCAAAATCTGTCTCTGTTATTTCTGGCCATGTGGCTTACCCCCAGTAACTTTCAGGTAATGGCAAAAGTTGATATTCTCTTACTGGGCAATGTTTATATCTGTGTGAGGTAGCAACTGATCAGGGAAATAAAGTCTTTGTATAATAAGATATGAACTCAAAATATTTGACATAAAGAATGACAAGCCAGAAAAGAACCCTTTCCTCTATTCATGTTTTCATTATATACTCAACTACCTCAACTGTTGCTCAAAACCACTGAAAGATATATAGCAGACAGCATTATCATTTCTCACCATCAATTCCTTTTTACATCCAAAAAATTAAGAACCAAGAATATTCAGAGATTTGCCAAAGGTAATAGAGATGAAATGCAACCCTAAACTTCTCATTCTACAGTCCAAGTGTTACAGAGAAACATTATAGGACAATACTTAAAAGCACAAGCTAATTAGAAATACATGGAGTGTCTGAATCTCAAGTCCCTAATTCACTACCTATCTGATCTTTTTCTAGACTTGCTTAAACTCTGTTTTTTTTGTTATCATAAAATACCTCAGACAAATAGAACTGCTTAATATTTTAACATCAATCACAATAGTGCTCAACAATGAATATCAAAATCATCTATGAAGCTTTCCAAAATAAAATACACCAGGGTAAGGTATGTAAGCACAGTTAAGAACCACTAATCTTACAATTTTATAAAAAATAATATATGTTTTGGGGCATATAAAGCAATACAAAAAACACTTATACACAACTTGGTACATAAAATATTTTTGTGCTAATTACATTTTAATTCATTTAGATTAATGGAAATAGACTAGTGGTAGACGTAACTGTTAGCATTCTCGTTTTCAATATATTTTGCATTCTACCATATTATTTCATATTTCTACCGAACAATTTCTACATGTTTATGGCATATTAATAGAGTGACATACAACTTTCCATACAAACCAGGATATTTGAGAGTAAAAGTAGGCACTTTTAATAACTAAACTGGACAAGCATAAACTTTAGACTGTCCCATTCAAACCTGATGATGGTCATCCCACCTATGACAGTTAATCTCCAATATTTTCTATACTACTTCAATGGATATAATATTTGTAGACAGAAATCAAGTGAGCTAATTCAGCTACTAAATATTTTTTAGTAAAAAGTGACAGAAAAAAAAAGTGACAGAAAACGTATTCTCCACTACTTCAGTTTCTCCAGTTCTAGATTTGCCATCTTATAATTTAACTATAAATAATACTTTATTGGACACTGAAAACACCCTGGAGGATGCCATATGAAGTTTTATTTCTGAAGCTTATACGTAAATCTGGTATACTACACAGTGCTGACAAAAGATGTCAAATACTTGGCATATGCTGCTACTGCCTGCACAGTAGTGGCAGACATTACTAATCTATCACGATGTTCTTTTCTGCTAAACATGAAAACTACAAACACATCTCACATAGAACTCAATTCAAGAAGAGAGCAACATGTAATAAAAAAAAATGCCAACAAATTTAACATCAAAGTAACTGCAGAAGAAATCTGGAAAAAATCAAGGAAAAAAATGCATTCAATATTAAAGTTCATCCAATTTTCCAAGAAACATACACACACAATGAAATTAACAAAAGGGAAAGTTTGGCTCCTTATTTAATCATGTAAGAAGAAAATTTAAAACTTAAAAGGACATGAGCCCAAATGGCCAATAACAAAATTGAAATAATCTTACTCACTTGCTTTCTTCATCCAAAAGATGGAGCAGACCTGTTGGTTTCTTGCTAATAAGATTTATGCAACAGGTATTATCAATATAATCTATATTGTGCCAGCTGATACCTTCAGTTCTATATTCCTCCTAGGAAATAACAAATTCACAATTTATTCATCTTGCAAAAAAATAGTAAGTATATGATAACGAAGACTGAAAAGCTTTTGCCAGGCTTAAAAGAACTGTCTAAACTTTTCCCTTTTAAATCTCTAATCTACATAATGGAAGAATGTAGGATTTCAGTTACACAAAACCTTCATACAGTATGTCTATTTTCATTAAAAAGTAGACAACCATATTTTTTGCTACAATGCTATTTGTATGCCACTCAGGTGAAAATTTAGGGCTGGAATCATTTTAGTCACACTATGAGGACTTCACTAAATAAAAATATAAAATGAAGAAGCCTATTTTCTCCCACAAGACTCTAAACCATCAAAAGAGTTTTTGTTGATTATCAACAATGAATTTAAAGAAACAATGCCTAGGAAAGGTAGAAAACCATCGTCTCCAGTGATCACTGATATCATATGGAGTTCATATATACTTCACTTGGTAAAATAAAACCCTTGGTGGGGGGGGGGAACAGCCCTTATTTTTTTATTTTTTGATAATAAATTTATTTTTTATTGGTGTTCAATTTGCCAACATACAGAATAACACCCAGTGCTCATCCCTTTAAGTGCCCCCCCCAGTGCCTGTCACCCATTCACCCCCACCCCTGCCATCCTCCTCTTCCACCACCCCTAGTTCATTTCCCAGAGTTAGGAGTCTTCATGCTCTGTCTCCCTTTCTGATATTTCCCACACATTTCTTCTCCCTTCCCTTCTATTCCCCTTCACTATTATTTATATTCCCCAAATGAATGGGACCATATAATGTTTGTCCTTCTCCGATTGACTTATTTCACTCAGCATAATACCCTCCAGTTCCATCCATGTTGAAGCAAACGGTGGGTATTTGTCATTTCTAATGGCTGAGTAATATTCCATTGTATACATAAACCACATCTTCTTTATCCATTCATCTTTCGATGGACACCGAGGCTCCTTCCACATATTGGCTATTGTGGACGGACACTGCTGCTCTAAACATCGGGGTGCAGGTGTCCCGGCGTTTCAATAGATCTGTATCTTTGGGGTAAATCCCCAGCAGTGCAATTGCTGGGTCATAGGGCAGGTCTATTCCCTCTTTGAGGAGGGAACAGCCCTTAGAATGTTTTTTAAAAAATTCAAATTCCAAGATTTAAAAAAGTCAAACCTCAGGCCTTGAGCAACTATTCAACTACTAAGCCCCTATTGTTTACTTTTCCTCTGTACTGGGAAATAATCTTATAATCCTTGTGATGCTTTTGAACTGTTTTTCAGAATAAGGCTCCTGAAAATCTAAAGAAGTTTCTATACTGCAGTAATATTTAGGCACCAAGTAAATACCCCAGCCACCTGATGGCTTTAGTATGCACTGATAACATTCATACACTTCTCTACTAACACGGTGGTTTTACAAATTAGCAATTTTGTGATTTTTATCATTCTTTGGGTATTATTAGTATCCTGTAAATAAGAATGGTATAATATAAACCATAGTTACTCTAACTGGGAAAGGTAAATGCCTGCACTCACTTCAGCAGCACATACACTAAAACTGGAATAATACACAGATTAGCATGGTACCTGTTCAAGGATACCATGCAAATTTGGGAAAGGTAAATGCTTAATTCTTTCCTTTTATTTAATAATTTCACAAGAAAGTAATTGCTATATGAAGGTCACCCCAGCTCAGTAATTAAAAAAGGTTTTTTTCCGTTTCTTCTTGTTTGTAGCATGGATAACAAGCATATGGATGCTTGTAAAGATGTTAATAGCAGTCCAAAATCCTTCCTCATCTCCTTAATGACAATTCAGAGCTCCTTGCTAAAGTTAACTATTATCCTAAATTCCAATACCACTGATAAGATTTACTTATTTATAAATCTAATATAAAGAAAATCATACTGTACTCTTTTCACGTTTTTTTCAACTCAACATCAGTTTCAGAGACACATCCAGGTTGTAGAATGCATCTAAAGTTCATCCATTTTTTAAAATTCTTTATCTGAATTCAAATTAGTTAACACATAGTGTATTACTAATTTCAGGGATAGAATTTAGTGATGCATCAGTTGCATATAACACCCAGTGCTCATTATATCAAATGCCCTTCTTAATGCCCATCATCCAGTTACCCCATACCCCTACCACCTCCCCTCCAGCAACCCCTATGTTGTTTCCTAGAATTAAGCATCTCATGGTTTGCCTCCCTCTTCATTTTAATCTTATTTTTTCTTCCCTTCCTCTATGTTCATCTATTTTGTTTCTGAAATTCCACATGAGTGAATACATATGGTATTTGTCTTTCTCTGACTTATTTTGCTTAGCATCCATTTTAATTGCTGTAGGAACATCATATTCACTCACTTATGCTTTATCTATGGCTTCTTTCTCAATGTAATAGCCGCATTGAGACTATATGTTATTAAAATATGTGTGGTTTCAATCCTTGAAATTTGGCCCTTGTATTATGGTACAGTCTATGAATAAATTTTTATATTTTGTAAATTTGTAGTTATCTATGTATGTCAAATAAGTATTTGCTTTAAAAATCTATATCCACAGGAAAAAGAAAATTCTTCTTATATCCTTATTTGATACAGGCCTTGGGCCTATGGAAACTGACATTCTAACCTAAAGGCAGGCAGGATTGAGCACCCATAAACGCACCTGCTCCATCCTCTGGGTGCTTTAAATAGTCTATAACCAGACTGATTTTTTCTTTTGTCTGCTTATTCTGTTCTCTATTCAGCAAGGTTTGTTAAAACATTCCACTACAGTTCCACTAGAATTACATGTTTCTTTTCTAGTTTTATTAATTTTTGTTTTATATACTTTGAGTCTAAATCAGGAACCTATAAATTTGGAATTGCACACTTCCTGATGAACTGACCCCATCATATTATCAAATATTCTTTTTGATTTCTGGCAATGCTGAGATTAATATAGCAATATCAGCTCTACTTTTGTTCAGATTTACTAAAGCTTCTTCCATCCTTTTAACTTTTTAATATGCTTATATTTAAAGTATCTTTCTTATAAGTAGTAATTTACTTTTGTTTTATATCGAGTCTGATAATATATCACTTCAACTTGGAGTAATAAATCCATGTATATTTAGCACAATCACTGATATTTTGTGGGATTAAATCAACCATCTATTATTTGCTATTTGTCCTGCTTTCCTGATACTGCTTTTTTTTCTTCTTTCTTGCTTCTTTTTCGACTACTGGAGTTTTTATTTTACTTGTTCCCTATATTAACTTGACAAATTTATATCCATTTACTATTTAGTGGCTATCCTAAAATTGTAACACATATCTTTAACTTATCAATGTCTAACAGAAAAAACATCTACTAGCACTCGGCGTTTAATACAAAGATCTTAGAATATCTTAAATTCCATACTATCTTCCTGATTTCAATGCTATTGTATTCATTTTTTTTAGTTCTACATAAATATTAAACCATAATAGATATTTTTATCTTTGCCTAATTTAGTTAATATTCATTTAGATTAACCACCCTCCCCCCCCTTTTTTATAATGTTCATTGCTCTTTATTCCTTCCTGCATCTCTGAGCTGCAATGCCAATAATTTAGCTACTGCCCAAATAACATACTTTAGTTTTAAGGAAGATATCCAGTTGTCTTTTGTCATTCACTGCTTGCCCTAAAAGCCTGAGTTCCAGTCTTATGGTTGCTTCTTTAACAGTACTTGCTCCCTACTGCCCAGTCTCCAAACCCCAGATGCTTCTCAGTTTACTATGATTGTCCTTGTACTTACAATGCTTTGAATTCATAGAACTTTGCAAATGTGTGCTTGTTGGATTTTTTTGTTTTCTGTTTTAAGTTCTGGAAAAATTCCCAACCATTATATTTTCAAAGATAGCATTTTCTCTTTCCTCACATATATCTTTCCAGAATTTCTCTTACATCTATTTTAGACCTTTTCACAATGCCCCATATGTCTCTTATACTATTTGAATTTTCCTTTTTTCATCAGGCTGGGTATTTTCTTCTGGCCTATCTTCCTAATCACTAATCCTCTCTTAAGTTATATCTAACTGTTTTAAACTATCATCATGTTCTTAACTTCACTCTACCTTTTAGTTCTAGATTTTCCTAAACTTACAATTTCTTTGTAATTCTTTTATAAAAATATTGTTTTTTAAAAAATTTCTTGACGTCATTATTACTTTATTAAAGTTCATTTCTGTTAACATCATTTCCTGGATTTCCGATTGTACAGTCTATTGTCTTACTTCTCTTGGTTTCTATTCATGTTGGGTTTCATTCCATGTGTGTCTTTAAAACAAAATTCTCAGTTAAAAAACTGAATGTTAGATCCTGTATATGAAAAATCATACTGATAATGTTAGTACTAAGATGATCTCTTCCTCCACTGGAGAATAAATTTGCTCCTGGCAAGTGGCTAAAAACATTAGGAATTCTATAGTCTTTTAACCCAATTGGAACTTAAGATTTTAAACTGGGCTTCAGTCCCTTAGATGCCTAATCTATTTCTAGTTTATCTTTATTTCTAAGATGTAACCCTTTAAGGTCTCAAGCAGAAAGCCTATAGGAGTTGCCAGCAGGTTCTTCCTTCTTCTTGAATCTCAAGAAAACCTGTTCAGCTTCTCAGATTCGGCTCTTTCAAAATCAGCACCCCTCTACCAGAATAAAGGAATGTCTTTAGCAACAAAGGAGTCCAAACATGCTGTGTTTGTCAACCTGGGTTTCCTTTTTGCAGATATAAACTCTATAGAACCTCACTTATTTATATATACTCCAATGCCTTCAAATATATTTTGCTCATTCTTTATGGGTATTCTGCAAAGCAATTTGGTCAAAATTTCCTAGTTTGACATCCCCAGAAGTGATAGAGACCCCCCCAAAAAACTCACTAGATTATACACTCAGGTAAGATCCCTGGCACTATGAATTTTCTATCTTCAATGCCTACCACATAACTGTTACTAAATTTACTGATAAGCCAATGGCTTGAAGGATAATTCTAAACAAGTAAAGGAAATAAGAGAGCAATATTATTAATGATAGCAGCAAATATATTTTCAAATCACAGAAACGTCTGGTCTGTATCTTACTCCACATTATCTTTATAAATACCTTAATTTAGGACTCAGAATCACACACTCCCACTACCTCAACTGGCTTATGTATTATGTCTTTCCCTTCAGTTATTTTTACCTCTCTTCGGTCCATCTTCCACAGTTCAAATCCTCTGCTAAATACACTTCAAATTGCTCCTCCTTTTTTAAAATTCCAATCTTCTCTACATGACATAGAAAGCCCACAATTATATTACCCTAGGATATTTCATAAATTTATCTCCCTTCCTGTCTCCATTCTTTAAAAAAAAAAAAAAGATTTTATTTATTTATTTATTTACTTATTTATTTATTTATTTATGAGAGATGCAGAGAGAGAGGCAGAGACATAGGCAGAGCGAGAAGCAGGCTCGCTGTGGGTAACCTGATGCAGGACTCAATCCCAGGACTCTGGGATCACACCCTGAGCCTAAGGCAGATGCTCAACCACTGAGCCACCCAGGCACCTCCATCTCCATTTTTATATCATGTATTTTGGCTATACTATTTCAGTTTCTCAAAAGTACCATGTTGTTTTATGCTCCACAATTTTAAGAATATTGTTACCTTTGTTTAAAATATCTTTTCCCCATTGACAATCTGGTAAACTCAATCTTCTATTCAAAACTATATTCCAGAATCACCCCTGAGAAACTTTTGTAGACTTTCAGGAAGTTCTTATCAACTTCATCCTTTCTATCACTACTTTAACATTCTATTTGATTTTGGCACTTATTATCCAGCAGGACAATTATTATACCTCTCTCCCATCTTGTGGGGAAATTTTGTGTCTATATACAATTTTTTGACAAAATTTACTTCAGTATTCAAAATTTTCAAGATGTTTCCTCCCAAAGCATATTTGATACCTTTTTATTTCTATCTTTTGTTTTTCAAAAAGTGTTATCTACTTACTGATTTTGTATTCCATTGGTAGTTAACAAATACTCATTGCATACCCATCTCACTTTAGGTACCAGAGATACACAAATAAATAAAACAGTTAATATTTAAGCTGCCTTAAATCTCTTATTCACAGGAAATCCATTTTCAGTGGAAAAACACAAGAGACAGGAAGAATAAAACAGATGAGATGGCAGAGGTCTAAGGTCTCCAAACTTTCTATAAATTATAGCAAAAGAATACCCATTACATTAAATTACAGAAGAGAATACTGAAACTTGAAAGGAAAAAAAAAAGATATATCTTGGAATCTAAGTCTTCTGACCCATAATTCCACCACACTGCCCAAGATTATAAAATTAAGGGTAGCAAATAAAGATCATCCATGCCTTAGTAGTTCCAAACACATTTTCCATAAACGTAAGGTTTTATTTTCTATACATGTTTTTAGGCAAAGTATTTCTTATGGCTCCTCAATGTCTAATCTACACTTCTAGAAAAGGTTAAAAAAAATTCAGTAATAGTCAATACCTTTTCCTTCAAAAGCAATTTACTTACTCTTCTGTTTAATGATCCAAAGAGCAAATGACACCTCGCTTCGTAAAACACAGCACTC